AAATCATCATTAGAACTTTTATTTGCACAATAATCAGCTAACTGCAGCTGCATTATAAGCCAAAAAAAGAAAACGAGCCCATTCAAAGGAGCTCGTAAAAAAAAAAACAACCAAAAATGGCAAAATGGCAAAAAATCTGCGCTGCAACCAGAACAATAAGAACTCGAAATGCGTTTATCAAGTTGCGCTCTGTTTAGGAGTTGTTTAAGTAGGATTTTAAGCTTGAATAATGTGCGCTCCGAGTGAATTAATGATATGTCGTGAATTGGGACTGGGCAGTCGCTGCAATAGCTGGCGATTGCAGTAACAGTTGCATTGAATGCACTTGTATGTATATGTGCAGAGGGTCAGAGATACTTAGGAGTCGCTTCCTGCCTGCATGCATACAGAGTGAGTCTCTTGGGGCTACACATATGTATATAAGAGGAAGCAGAGATCTTGCGACATGAAGAGCTCTTAAATGCAATAATTAGTTATTTTACTTGACACTGAATTGGAATAATAAGAGAGAAAGAGAGAGAGATATTCTCTACCCAGAAACACTCTGATACTACTATTTGTCTGCTCTTCTCTAATCCCATTTTAATATACAAAATATCATTTCCGACCAATTCAGATTTGAGATCCAATTCAAATATGTCGAAAACCTTCAGAAATGTCAACGCCCTACCCAAGAACCTCTTCAGCTACTAGCAAGGACGGCTGGGTAATGCAGCTTCAATTAAAATTAGTACATTGCTTAAATAAAAAATAATAAAATTATTTTTATTTACAAGAATATAACAAAATTACGCCATTATTTTCAGAGATATTGTTCTAAGTAAGTAAAATTCCCAGCACAGTTGATGAGTGCCTCTAGTCAGTGGGTTTAAGCACTCGAGCCTATATTAAAAAAGCATTTCGTAACAAATTTAATAAATTATGCTAAGCACCACAGCGACAAAGAAAATGACCGCATTAGACTGAAACGCAGCACAGCAAAGAAAAAACCATTTAAATAGAGCTAATGCTCCATAAAGCTGACAGCAGAAAATGATGCGAGGCAGCCTCAAGTGTCAACAACGATATGTGTATGTGTGTGTGTGGGAGCATAATTACTTTATTATTGTTTTCGTCACGTATCTAARCCAATTTTCAAGAAGCAGCTGCCGTTTGGCTGCTGCTGCTGGTGCTGGTGGCACCTCGGTTCGGCTAAAAGTCAAGGTTAATGCGGCCAGCCAAATTATCCGGACGTTCGAGCTGATGGCACATGTTGAGTCTGCGCAGCCTCGTCTCAAGGGCAGCCCCGTGTCGAATTTTCAACGGGCATTCGACGAGAAAAGCACACACATAATAATCCATGGCAGCGTGTGAATCGAGTCTTGAGCACTAATAAAAATATGGCCACAAGTCCATTGGAAAAGAGCAACAACGTGGAGCTATATTAATTACCGTTCAGCTCGGATTGGCTGAACGCAGTTTGGGGATCATTATGAAATGGCAGCACCAACGCCTAATGATAATGGTCATATGAAATATCAAGTCAGACAGAGAGACAGGTGGACAGGGGGACAGGGAGACGGACAGACGGACAGACGTACCTGCTGCCTTTTGGAGCTGGCAGTCGCAGCATATTTAGGCTTTTCTTGTTTGCAACCGCCGTGTGGCAGTTGCAATGACTGCGCTGATTAAGGGAATTTCTCACAGACAAACAGCAATAGCAACAACAACAACAACAACAACAACAACAGCAACAAACATAAATAAATAACTGAAAAACTAAACCAAAAAGCAGCAGCCGCATTGCCAAACGTTTGACGTTGCTCTTGTTGTTGTTGTTGTTGCTGCAGTTGCTGCAGTTGTTGTTATTAGTTGTTGCTGCTGCTGCAATGCTTTTCTCGAAGGTGAACCAGAATGAGTCTCAGTCTCAGTCCCAGACTTCGGTCTCCGTCTCAATCTTAGTCACAAGATTCGTCTCTGCATGCGCCTCAATTGAAGCGCATTGAAAGCCATTTCAAGTCAATATATACATATACAGCTATGTATGTATGTATGTATATATATGCATGTATATATTCCTTAGCTCAACCGGATTGCTGCCACTGCACATCTTTTGAAAGTGAGCGGCTGCTGTCGCTGCCTGCATCAATTCTAGAGCGAATGTCTGCTGTAAATTTATTGCTGCGATTTGATTTTAATTAGTTTAATTTATGATAATTTATAATAAAAATGCATTTGCAGCGTGGGTTACGGATTTGCGTAATTAAAGTGCTTAACAGCATCCGACAGCTACTCCAGTTTGAAGACCTATCCGAGATTGTTTACTTAAGCCGATTATCAAAATGAATAACTGCATTTATGAAGTCTTTCATTTATCATATGTGCACCTCAATTTATTTACTATTATTCCTATTATTATTCTATTATTCACTATCAAGTTCGTTGCCTAAGTCTTTTGATTTGTTGATATTTTGCTTGACCATGCATAAGAGCTTATTCTGCCAATTATTTATCGTTGTTATTATATGCCCTCAAATTATTTCAGAGACCATCTGATTTTTCTAATATAAAAGTAGACTACACTATATATATATATATA